TGGCCGCTGACGAAGGCCAGCGGCCGCTTATCCACCTCGGAGCCTTTTGGACATCCTGCTCCCTTCGGCGCTGTGCCCTGGCCATGCTTCGGGCCCTCCTCTTTGCCATGGCCAGGCTTCGGCCAGGGCTGGACCTAAACGGTGTTTTGGCGATTTCGTGGACCGTTGTTATTTCGATGTCGTTTTGCTGTAAAGGCGGATTGAAGACAACACGAGGGAACACGAAACCATAAACGAACAACATCGTTTAGGTTCAGCCCTGGCTTCGGACCCTGCCCTGTGCCCTGGCTAGCTTCGTGCCCTGCTCTTGGCCCTTGCAAGGCTTCAGCCAGGCTTTCCTGCTCCTCCCTGGGTTGGCGTTGTCGTCCTCGCCGAATTATCGGGAGAGTATCAATGACGCGCCGCCGTAGCGAGCCCGTCAGCTGTGTTACTCCTCAGTCTCAGTTCGACAGCATGGTGTTGCTTCAACAGTAACGCGGTGATGGGTTGTAAGTTTTCCCTGGCTTGCCTGAGGCTTCGTCTCTGCAACCCCGCCTTGCGTCGGGGGAGCAAGCGTTTCGAGCCTTCTCCTCGGAAGCCAGACTGACTCCCAGCTCGCCCAACACCTCTTTGTCACGCGGAGGGTCGCCGAGAAGGTGTCAGACCGAAAAGGGTGGCACCCAGAGAGCAGGCACCCCCAAGATTTACAAGTGATGGGTCCCCAACGGCGTCGTGCCATTGGTGCTGCGTGTTGCCCCCATGTGTTCCTTTCTCACTTTGCTTAGTGAGCGTCTCGCTGATTCGGGGGCGGAAAAGAGGGGGGTGATGACTAGGGGGGGGGGGAATGTTCAGGGCGGAGGCCAGGATATTTTTCCCAGATTTCACGGCGCCTCTTTCTGTTTCATTACGGACTCCCCCAGAATCCCCCGCCCCTCGGCTCGCGCACGTGCCCGGCCGGTCATGGCTTTGCACCCCCCCCCTCCTCCTCCTCTCCCTCCTCCGCATCCTCCCCCTCCTCCTCCTCCTCCTCCTCCTCCTCCTCTCCTCCGCCTCCTCCTCCTCCTCCTCCTCCTCCTCCTCCTCCTCCTCCTCCTCCTCCTCCTCCTCCTCCTTCCTCCTCCTCCTCCCCCTCCTCCTCCTCCTCCTCCTCCTCCTTCCTCCCCCCCCCCTCTTGGACATCCCCCCTCCCCTCTTGGCCGCTCCCGGCTGTGGCTCTTTTTTTGGGGGGGGCGCCGACGCCGAGAGCATTCCCGCACTCCCTTCCCTCCTCGAGCGAGGCCACCGGTTACCGGCCCTATCCGTGCCCCCTCCGAGGGCCACAGTGAATGCTGTCGAGGCGCAGTCCCCGGAACCCCGTGCACCGCCCGGCTTCCCTGCTCTACACCGGACTCCTTCTCCTTCTCCTCCTCCTCCTCCTCCTCCTCCTCCTTCCTCCTCCTCCTGCCTCCTCCTCCTCCCCTCCTCCTCCTCCTCCCTCCTCCTCCTCCCCTCCCTCCTTCCCCCCCCCCCCTCGTTGGCCCCCCTTCCCCCTTTCTCCTCCTCCCTCCTCCTCCTCCTCCTCCTCCTCCTCCTCCCCCCTCCTCCTCCTCCTTCCTCCTCCCGCCTTCCCCCTCCTCCTCCTCCTCCTCCTCCTCCTCCTCCTCCTCCTCCTCCTCCTTTTCGCTTCCCCCCCTCGTTCGCCGCCGCCTCCCGGCGCACGCACGCACGCGGGCACGAAAGGATTCCTATTGAAAGCCTCTACACCAGGATTCCTATTGGAAACCAATGCACAAAGATTCCCAGTGAGGTCCCCTCCAAGAGGTTTTGCCTGCCTCCTCCTCTTACTCGCCCTGTCTCACTCGAAGCAGGACAACAGCGCTGCAAACGTAACCTTTCTGTCGTCGTCGCCGCCGCCGCCGCCGTCGCGGACTCCTTCGTCGTCGTCGTCGTCGGTGTCGTTTTCGTCGTCATAGTCGGCGTCGCCGTCGCCGCCGCCTCCGCCGCCGCCGGCGCCACTATCGTCGTCGTCGTCGTCGTCCTCGTCCTCGTCCTCATGGTCGACGTCGGCGCCAGCGTCGTCGTCGTCGTCGTCGTCGTCGTCGTCGTCGTCGTCCCCATCGTGGCGAAGGCCGGCGACCGCTCCTCCACCGCGACCAATCGCGGCATCCTGGCGACGGCCGTGGCCGCGGGGCCAGGACGCTCGCCCCTCCCGCCCAAAGGGGCCCGCGGCCGCGGTTCTCACCTCGGCCAAGGCTAGGTCGGGCACGTCCCTCTACAGGATGATTAAGAGTTAAAATTAGTCTGGAGGATTTGATTTAAGAGTTCAAGAGGGTTTTATATATACATATAAATACATACACATTGCTGTATGGTTGAGCATGTTTCTGCTATTTTTTAGTTTTCCTCCAAAATCTGCATGTGTGGGGACATGCCCGACTTAAGGCCAGGGCCAGGTTCGGGGGTGTTTGTCGACCACGAGCCCGAAGATGATGCGCACCGGTGCTGCTTCCCCTTCTCCTCCTCGGCGTCCTCTTCTCCTGCT